ATGTTTTGTCATGAAAATGAAAGGCATTCTGGTTTTGTATTGAAATATTGGCTAAGAAAACTTAAAGTATGAAAGATGCAAATGAAATAAGGCTGTGCACACAGTGAGAACATTTCTTTCAGGCTATTGTTTTATTATTCCTTTGACCTTTCTCAACTCTTCTTTATTTGTCTCTCTTTTTTTTTTTTTTGACACCAGTGGCTCTTTACGCCATAAGCGCTGTGTACTTCGCCGGTGTGATGGTGCGTTTGATGCTGACTCTGACTCCAGTAGTGTGCATACTGTCAGCCGTGGCCTTCTCCAGTGTCTTTGAACACTACCTTGGAGACGACATGAAGAGACAGAGTCCGCCTGCAGAGGACAGCAGTGACGAGGACGACAGGAAGAACGCCAGCAACCTCTATGACAAGGTTATCAGTCATATTGTACGCAGTTGCTTTGCTTTGCACCGGCAAACCCATTGTTTTTCTTAAAAAATATATAAGCATGTTTAAGAGTGTAGATGTCTGGTACATAATTTCGACTTCATCAAACTCATTGACATGTCTATCAACACGTGACCAGTAATCAGCAGCTGCCAAGTGTGAAATATTCATAGACTGGGCCAAAGAGACCCTCGGTTGTCTCCTTGATGTGTCCCAGACGTGATCTTATTCCGTTCATACTGGATATTTGATCTCAGACAATGACGTCTTGAGCCAAACCGGCCAATCGGAGCCAAGGACGGATTGAGGGTGGCAGGAACCTACACAAGAATGAAACATAAAACACAAATATGATGGATCAGTTTTATTACTTTCACAAAAAAACATTTTAAAAAATCTTAGACATGAAACAGCTGAATAATTCCTGGTGTTAAATGTAGTACTGCATACTTCATCCATGGAGCAATATCATATATTGTAATGTATGCAACTAAAAAATCAAAATGTTGTAGATGGCTTTTTACAAGGGGTTAACTTTCACTGTGCTGCCCCCTGCAGGCTGGTAAGGTGCGTAAACACGTCTCTGAGCAGGAGAGGGCAGAAGAAGGACTGGGCCCCAACATCAAGTCCATCGTCACCATGTTGATGTTGATGCTGCTCATGATGTTTGCAGTCCACTGCACCTGGGTCACCAGCAATGCCTACTCCAGCCCTAGTGTAGTGTTGGCATCTTATAATCATGACGGGTGAGAAGATCTCAGCAGTTTTACGTTTACATTTGTTTCTACAGTTTGAACAGCGGTGATTGATTTGACATTTTCAAACATCCCTAATATTTCTTTGTTACTATAGCAGCCGTTAAGGGTCAGCCAAATTAAACATGATGGGTGAATAAGCAAATGGATTTTACCGTTGATTAAAATCACACAACCAGTCTCTTCAGTCACCACTGCTAGCTGCCAATTCTTAGTCTTACAATATTATACATTTGTCAGACCCCGGGACCTCCCAGAGCCATTTATATGTGTTTTTCTTCCAGATCTCGTAACATTTTGGACGACTTCAGAGAGGCATATTATTGGCTGAGGCAGAACACAGACGAGCATGCCAGAGTGATGTCATGGTGGGACTATGGCTACCAGATAGCTGGGATGGCAAACAGAACTACTCTAGTGGACAACAACACGTGGAACAACAGTCATATAGCACTGGTGAGACAGGCTGATGGCAGTTGATCTTATTTTATCTTATATTATCAGAAATGATAAGAAAAATACTTTTCTGTTTTTTTGCTTTAACACAGTCTTGTAAATCTTTGTCATTGTGTCAGAAACCACTCCCTTTAACAGACTTGTACTTGAAGTACAAACTGTGCAGAACTACAGTGTTACAGGATAGCTCTGTTTACTTCCAATTTTTGATTCCTAAGAATCCATCAACATTGTGACTTTGCAAACTGGCTCTCCATTCTTTATTCCACTACGCCACCATGTGACCATAATGCATTACTACACTGCAAGTAAAACGAATGCTTCTGGATGTCTGACAAATGTATTTTACTGTCTATTTTCTTTAATTGTATTGTGTCTATTTTCTTTAATTGTATGCATCTGTGTGTTTGTTTGTCAAGGTGGGTAAAGCCATGTCTTCAAACGAAACGGCAGCTTACGAAATAATGAGGTCCCTGGACGTTGACTACGTCCTGATCATCTTCGGCGGTGTGATTGGTTATTCAGGGGACGACATCAACAAGTTCCTGTGGATGGTGCGAATTGCAGAGGGGGAACACCCCAGAGACATCAGGGTGAGGGAAACATCATAGGGTCAAAGATTGTTTATTAAATATATGCTGAAATTGTGTTCCTTTTTTTGCTTGTGTAAACATATAAAAATGTTCTGCCTTGCTGCAGAAATACATTACCAGACTGTAACTAGCGTAAGATAAAAGTAGGAAATTTCAGACACTTTAAATTTTTATTTATTACATTTTTCATCTCTATCACTCTCCCCTGTTTTCCAGTTCTTTAATATAATGCGAACTCTAATCAGTTCTAATGAAAAATGTTTGAGGATTTTCATAGGATGAGTCCCTCAAAAATGTGTGTGAATGTGAAATGAAGTGACATTTATCATTGTTTCTGTTCATCCAGGAGAGTGACTACTTCACACCGCAGGGTGAGTTCAGAGTGGACAAAGCTGGTTCACCAACCCTCCTCAACTGCCTGATGTACAAAATGTCTTATTACCGGTTTGGAGAAATGCAGGTTTGTCAAAAAAGTCATGAACTCACCTGTTTTTAAATAGGATTGAATAATAGTTTATTTATATATATCTATTTTTTTTCTGTTCAGCTGGACTTTCGGACACCGCCAGGCTTCGACCGCACTCGCAACGCTGAGATTGGCAACAAGGACATCAAGCTGAAGCATCTGGAGGAAGCCTTTACATCGGAGCACTGGTTGGTGAGGATTTATAAGGTAAAGAAGCAGGAAAACAGAGACCGTGTGGAGCACAACCTGCGAAGTACGGACACCACCAAGCAGAAGTACACCTCCAAAAAGGTAAGCTGGTCAACAGTTAAAGACAGCGGGAGTTTTTTTTTGTTTTGTTTTTTTCTTTAAATTTTCAATGTAATCCATTCACAGTGTCTGTCACTTAACTGGGTCCATTTGAAATGTGCTCACTATTAGGAAGACATAAATTTAAATGTGTAAACAAATTATTTGTGTGTTTATTTTAGTTGTTCTCAGTGCTGAAATCCGACTCAGTTTCCAAGTCATTAAAAGAAAGTTGAGATTAAATTTGATAAGCTCTCCAGGGCTGAAGTTAAGAGTCTGAGGCTAAGAGAAAAGTTCATGTTATGTCCTTTGAAGACTCTGTTGTTCACAAACAGTTTACTTTATTTTGTTAATGAAATTCCACCTACCATTTTCTTTTTGGTGCAGATAATTAATTGTCTGATTTTCTTCTTCTCTGCCTGCAGACAGCCAAGAGGAAGCGTGGGTACATCAAGAACAAGCTGTCCATCAAGAAGGGCAAGAAAGTGACCAAGAAGTCTCTATAGAAAACCCACTGACAACTGAGGCACAGTGTGAACGGAAGATAGGGAAAAATCTTAAACACGGTACTTAAAAAAAAAAAAAAAAAAACAGAAACATGCAGCAAATGGTAAAATTTACTTTAAAAGATGAATAGGATACGTGGAGGGCTCTCAAGATGTCCGCTCTGGACCGAGCTGGACATGTAACCATCACCCTAAGAGGATGTTTTAAACCCCGTCCCCAGCCGACTTTTGACCTTGTACGCTGGGCCAAGTGGGAGGAAGTGCAAGATCCTCCAGGCACATAAAGAACAGCGACCTTTGACTTGCTTTCCGTACTTGAATGTGTTTTGAGTGACAGGTGATGAGACTAAGAGAGAGTGAAGAGGATGGATCAGATGTTCTCAGTGTGGGATTGCCCTATGCATCATTTACACACACATTCAAATACAAAAACACTGTCTTACTAGATTACAAACAGACACTTAGACAAACAGTGAACTTTATTGAGGGAGGGAGGGGGTAAAACAGTTGCTTTCATTATAGTTTTTAGGAGTTCAAACACGCACCTTTTCACCTTCCTGCTTTCTTGCTTTGCAAACGCTGTCAGTGGAAACAGACACAAACCTGGAAACACCTTTTATTGCATTTCAGTGTTTTCTTTTTTTGTTTGTTCATTGCTCATTGCTCATTGAGCTAAATCCAGAACCAACCTCATTCTGCTGCTTTGGCATAGACAGCTGTAGAAGGCAGGATCTGTAAACTGTCGACTGTTGATTAATGTCTTGATAAATACTAACGTTGTAGGATGTACATCATCTCACCTGAGCTGATCATGGTGACCATCTCTAAAAGCCCAGTTTGGTGTAACGTTGTTGCATTTACTGGACGATTTCCTTCTTTATTTTCTGTATTTCTTTCCCGGCGTTGCTTTGCAGCTGACAGTTGTTGGCAGTGCTTTAATATTTCCACTGCAGATCCATGAAGCTGCTTTCCTTGACAGTCTCATCTCCATCTTGACTGTCCTTTGATTGCGTTGAACGTCGGTTTGACATTGACATGTGGGTAGGGTACTGGCATATGCTGTGTTCCAACTACAGTTTCATGCACCCCATGTGCAGAGAAGCAGCTGTAGGTGGGTGCTCAAGACTACCAGTAGATATTGATTTCAACCACTGGACGAGTGATAATTGAGAAGAAGCTTAGTTCAATCCTTGACATACGCCTCTGATTCAGTTTGCCTTAATGCACTGTTTTGTTTTGTTTTTTGGGTTTTGTTTTAGGAAACTAATGTTTCTACCTGCCCACAATAAGAATTTAACAATACAGAACCCAGATGTTCTGCTGCCTCTGCCACTTCCGTTGTCATGTATTTGCTAATTGAAGATCGTTACCTTGATCAGCATCTGCAGCTGACTGTCTTTGCACAGTTAGAGCAGAGCGTAGTTACCTGTATCATTGTCCTCTACATCCCCACTTCCAACTCTCCCTACAGTCCCCCTGATTTCTTCTGGGTTTAGATGCTTAAAGAAAGACAGAATCATTATTGATCAATAGTTTCCTTTCATTCATGGGCCCCAAATGTCCGTAAAATAAACCCACTCTGATGTGTTCAAATATGATTACTGTTGTTGATCCCGTTTTAGTTCAGTTTCTTTTGTCAGCTTGAGTCTAAAACCAAACACCACGTTTAGACAATCCAAGTAGTGATGACGACGCTCGCTGAAGACAAAAACAACACGTTTGTCCCTGAGAGTATTTATTTGGTGGATGATTGAGGCTGAGGTGACTAAAGCGTTCATTATTAAGTGATTTTTATTTTGTTTTGGATTCTGAGGTTTCTTCCATCAATTGTAATGGCCTTGATGTAGGTATGAGAATGAAAAATGCCTTTTTGAATAAAGAGGTTGAAGTAATCTTTGTGTTATTTGTTGGTGAAAATAAATGCCCTAATATTTTATTTATTAAGCTCTTGATTTCACCATTTTATTAATTCATTAAATTAATATTTCCTACATTCCTAAGAGTTATGGTTATCAAATACACCCCCCTCTCCCCTGTTTTTTTAGAAATAAAACATTTTTGCATTTTGATATAATCCTTTTTTTTGTATTTCCTATTGTTATTACAATAAACATTTGACCTTGGCTGCCTTTAAGTTAGTCAAGTTAAAGCTTTGCTGTTAGCTGTAATCGTCATTGTGAATGCCTCTTGCATGCTTAAACCTATGAAAGACTAATAATTACTGGCCTTGTCATTGCTGACACCCCCACCTGGGATTTGGGGACTAGGTGGAGTAACCAGAACCTCCTGCATGCCAGGAGGTTCTACCAAAGGGTTATTGGCACCCCTGAAGAACATCAGTGAGATATATATATATTTAAATGTGTTCATGAATCAAAATTTCATGCAACTGAAAGTGTTCAAGTTTATCCCACACAATGGACCATAGGTATGAATGTGAATGGTCATTTATATGAGGCCCTGTGATGGACTGGTGAACTGTCCAGGATCTTTACCCAGCCCTTGCCCATCGACACCCTTTCCCACTTCCCCGACAACCCACCTGTGATTTCGCAAAGAAAAAAAAGGAGAGTTAGCAGCTGGTACAAAGCCCCAGTTTATTAAAATTGACCAAAAACAAAGCAAAACATTTCAGACAGGTGGACAGTTTTAACATTTAACAGTTGGGAAAATCTCCACTTTTGGAGCTGGTGGGTTTTGTGTATAGAAGACTAGTTTGAAAAAGTGTACCAGTGTTTGCCATCGGACTGACAGAAAGTTGCATGAACCAGAAGACTACAGTACCTCATACCTCAACTATGAACCACCAGTTCCTGAACAAAACTTTTAGGTTAAGCAGAGTATTTTGGACATAATGCAACAGGTCACCAAATTTGATTGTTGGATTTCCTGTTGACCATAGTGACGTAGACAGACGTTATGTTAATGAACTTTTGGCTACATCCCTGAAGGGGATACTGATTTCTGTATGGTGTTTGATAGCAGTTTGAATCTACTGTGTGGCAGTACGTACTGCTTCATATCCTCGTCTCATTCCTCTGTCTTTATGGATTGGCAAATTTCTAAACTGGTGGTTTCTTCTAAGCTTTAAAGACAAATGCTTTTGGGTGTCTGCAGGCCTCTGTATGTTGCCATGTTCATCTCTTTAGGAACCTGTGTATTTGGGGAAAATAACGCATTTAGCTCCTTATGGCGTCTTTCTTAATACAGACTGTCATGAAAATAAAAAAAGCATTATTTTAAATTACAATCAGGTTTGTGGAGTCAAAATGTGTACATGTATTTTTAATAGCGTTAGCTGATATTTACGTCATCAATAAGTGCCATTCCGCGTCGGTCAGGAGTCGTTACGTTTTAAACGTGAGACGATGTTTACGGAAGAGGCTAAATTAACACTTTATATCGACAATTATTAACGTTTACGGAATGGTTTGTTATTTACATGGGTGAACGTCGCAATTAATAATTTTGAATTTCTCCTTCAGTATGCTCTCCGGGTCATTCTACGCGTTAATAGCTGGGTTTTTAAGCGCTGTTGCGTCGTTGTCTGCCAAACTGTCCCTCGGTGCAGACTATCTGAGGGACATGTGTGAGGCAGCGATGGTCAGCTGGACTGACACTCGGGGTGAAGCTGAAAGGTGTGAGTGGGTAAGTGGAAAGTTTTTAAACAAACCGTTCATCTAGGTCTAACTTCGAGTATACTTAACTATTTGGTTGCGTGTATCGTTTAGATTTTCCGCAATAAAAATGTGTTTTTAAAATCAGATGTCCAGTTGACAAAGTTTCACTGTTCGTTCTAATATTACCTAGGTAAATGTAACTAGAACGTTTGGCAACCACGGCCCAATAGAAGGGAAAACTTCTGTAACTTTTTGGATTTCAAGTATAGCAAAGCATAACACACCAGGGGTACTTGACAGCCTAATGTATGTTATTTGTATCTTCTGTTTGCAACATGTTGACTTTGCAGTACCATAGCAACACTAACTGGCACGAAGAGATCGCAGGAAGAATCCCAATAATTGTATTTTTTTTACTCAACTTGTTGAGTTTAAGGTGTGGACAATAGGTTAAAAAACATCACAATGATGAGCTCCGTCACCTCCACGTTTACAGCAAATGGTAACCAAGATGTGTGCAACTCGTTACATAATTGCTCGGCATAGAGATTAGAGGTAAAGACTGTAAAAAGCAGGTGCAGTCTTTGCAACTAATTGTTAAAATAAGCCTGTACGTGTGTGATGAATCGGTGAGTGAGTCCTCAACTCTTTTGTTATCTGTGTATGTTTGTGCAAAAGAGAAACGCTCTGTCCATTATTCGGACTCGGAAGATGCTAAATGAACCGTAGCTCTGCCATCATGAACTACAGTGGAGAAGAACTTACCACGTTATCGTAGTTGAAGAAATTGTTGGAGGTTGAGTGCACTCTGCTGGACAAACGTGGTTATGGCACATCTTCCTTTATCATGTTCTGTAGAAGGAAATGTATTACTTGCTTTTCTACTGACCGAAATGTATTGAAAGGTCCTTATGGCAAATATATGGCCTGGTCAATACAATTGACAGCCTAATAGTAGTGACAGCCTCCTTTAAACGAGGATAGTCTGTTACTACATATATTACAACATATATTGAAACTTAGTCTGTAAATAATTATATGCCATGGGTTTGGTTTATATACAGTATCCTCCATGGATGTAAATACATTTAAATGGACATGCGTACATGTTGTTAAGGATGTTTGGCCTCTGTGCAAGAGACATTTCCTTGCTGAGCATTTGGTTAGAAACTCCAGGTATTTGACGTTGGTCAGCTCATTACCTGTAAAAAAGAGTCCCTTCTTTGTTGCTAATAGTTTTTCCAACCAGCAACATGGCTGGTTGAACTTTTAGTCCACATTGTTAGTGTATACTTCTAAACAGTCTTGAAACAAATCTGCGAATCTTCTTAAAAAAACAATTTCTCGATCTGACTTTTGAACCCATGTTGCCTCTATTGGCTCCACCCTGGTCCCCATCCCAAATACGATTAGTAGAGACCGGTAAGGTCTCTGCAGAAATGTGACTGTTATTTTCCGTGGTTCTCTCAGATGCAGCAGTTAGTTCATCATTCATACACAAGGCTAAGTCTTCCTGTAAGGTACCTAAGGATGGTGGCCTGTCATTTTGAGAGGCAACTGTTTTTCCATGATATGAAGGGCCACTACTAAAATCACTAGGGAAATACTTCATAGTGATAAAAGGGTGCCTTAGAGCCTCACTGGGGGCAATTCTTTTTCCTGGATCTACTTGAAGCATTCTTTTGAGAAGGTCAACAAATGCCCGCGTGTCCTCGTTCCCAGCTGTACCTAGGCGAGTCATTGCAATGCCTTCAAGTTTGGTAAATGGTCTTAATGACGTCCCATGCAATGGCTGGTGACCAGCACCGTCTTCAGTGGTCAAGGATCTTGCTATTTCTGAGACATTTTTTATCGAACAGTTGCACTTTCTCTTTAACATCCATGGAGAACTTGGGGATTCTCTGTGAAAATATCTCTTAGTATACATCCCAGTATTAAGTAACTGTTCATCAGGTTGCCCATGCAATTGAACAATAGCACCCATTTTCCCTAGTTCACAGGCTCCAGAATAAATAAATTTAGCTATGTACATGGAGGCCACCAGACAGCCTAGAGCCCACATGTCTACAGCCTCATTCAAAGGCAGACCAAGTGAGATCTCAGGGGCTCTGCCCTCTAAGTTATAAAAGATATCCCCACGGTTGAGTTCAGACACATGACAAGCCAGACCAAAATCAATAAGTTTAACCTTAAAGGGATGTAGCTGGTGATTAACTAGCATAATGTTGTCTATCTTGATGTCTCTGTGCACCATTTTGATGCTCTTGAGAGCATTCAGAGCTACCAGCATCTGTTGTGTGATCATTTGAATTTCAGACAAAGGCATTGGTCTGTTAAAACTTTGCACAAGTTCCAAGAGCTCCATGTCGAGTTTCTCAAATTCCAGAAAAATATTGTTAGGAAACTCAAAGTGCCTGTTAAACCGGACTAGGTTGTTCTTGTCTAAGTCGAGCTTCTTGAGCTGCTCAAGGGCCGATATCTCTTCTTTAGCATTCTCCTTATGAGACAGTGCCTTTACTGCCACTGTCTTATTGGTGTCTAATGCAGTACACTGATACACAACCCCAAATGCCCCTCTTTCCAAGGTCTTCTGTACTAGATACCCACTTAACTCCAAAAGGGGAACTAAGGGATCTTCACTAAGTGATGAATCCATTTCAACTGCTGATTGTCCCCAAGCAGTCTACAAAAACGAAACCAGACATAGTCATTGTCTTCCCCTGATGTGTCGGTACATTTGAATAATAGTTTGCCTTTAATGTCAATCGTCAGATGCCCTTTGATGTCAACTGATGTCATCCTGCATGGCTTGTTGTAGTGTTTCTTTAATGCAGTTCACATAAAGACTTGGAATCATCATTTGTTACCAATAAGGAGAAAAGAAAAGGAGAAAGCACTGTTGCCTGGGAAGCAGAGTAATCATCATGAATCACGTTTAGTTTGAAAAAAGGAGAAAAGACACTGTTCCACAACAGTAATGGACATCATTGCAACCATCAAGAAGCCAAAATTGAATTGAATTGTTCATTAAGTACTAATTATAAGAAATATAGGAAAGTTGAAATGGAGCATGTGCCAGGAGGGAAAAAGTAAATAAGAAACTACATCTTGAAAAAAGATGTTCCAGAGAGGAGTAAAACGATTGCTGGGTGGTCCCAAGAAAAGAGTTGACAGCAGGACAATTAATATTGGTCATCATTTGACATCTGCTGATGAGGCGACCATCTCTGATAAGTTCTGCAACAACAAGATTGCATCTTCCAAGTATACTGTGTATAACTTTCTACCAAAGAACCTGTTTGAACAATTCAGAAGAATAGCTAATTTCTACTTTCTTATCATTTTCCTTGTTCAGGTGATAGTTGATACCCCCACCAGCCCAGTTACCTGTGGCGTCCCCTTATTTTTTGTGATCACAGTAACTGCTATTAAACAGGGCTACGAGGACTTCCTTAGGCACAAGGCCGACAATGAGGTGAACCGCCAACCAGTGACAGTGGTACAGAATGGCCAAAGGGTGCAAAAAGAGAGTGAGAAGATCAAAGTTGGAGACATTGTGGAGGTGTACGAAGACGAGACATTTCCTTGTGATTTGATACTGTTGCATTCAAGCCGACAAGATGAGACATGTCTTATTACCACTGCAAGTCTGGATGGAGAGTCTAACTGTAAAACACGCTACACTGTACAAGACATGCAGGGGGATCTGGAATCTCTTCAAGCCACTATTGAGTGTGAGCAGCCACAGGCCGACCTCTACAGGTTTGTTGGCCGTGTGCACATTTACCCAAAGAATCAGGAGGAAACAGCGAGGTCTTTGGGCCCAGAAAACCTACTGCTGAAAGGGGCAACTTTAAAGAACACCAAGAAGATCCTTGGTGTTGCTGTATACACTGGCATGGAGACCAAGATAATTCTCAATTACCAAGGTAAATCACAGAAACGTTCTGCTGTGGAGAAGTCTGTCAATATCTTTCTTCTCATTTACCTTAGCATATTGCTGAGTAAAGCCCTTGTGTGCACTACCCTGAAGTACATGTGGCAGAACACGCCTGGACAGGAAATTCCCTGGTACAATCAAAGAACGCAGGCGGATAAGGAAACCAATTCATACCTAAAAATGTTCACTGATTTTCTGTCCTTCATGGTGCTCTTCAACTTCATTATTCCAGTTTCCATGTATGTCACAATTGAAATGCAAAAGTTTTTGGGATCTTTTTTTATCACCTGGGACACAGACTTTTTTGACCCTGACACAAATGAGGGGGCACTGGTTAATACTTCAGACCTCAACGAGGAGCTTGGACAGGTGGATTATATCTTTGCAGACAAGACAGGCACACTCACTCAGAATAACATGGAATTCATTGAGTGCTGCATTGATGGCTTCCAGTACAAGTGCCACAATACTAACTCACAACAAAGTGAAGTCTCAGGCCGACCTGTCAACAAAGCCTGCAAGGAGAAAGAAGAACTGTTCCTGCGTGCATTATGTCTCTGCCACACAGTTCAGGTGAAAGAGGACACACAGGTGGATGGCGTACAAGAGGACAGAGAGCTGTTTTATCCACAGCTAGGGAAGAGAGAATTCATATCCTCCTCACCTGATGAGGTCGCTCTGGTCAACGGTGCCGTGAAGTATGGCTTCACATTTCTCGGTATGGAAAATAAAATGATGAAAATTCTTAACAGGAACAATAAAGTTGAAATGTATGAACTACTGAACGAGCTGAGCTTTGACCCTGTGAGAAGGCGAATGAGTGTAATAGTTAGAACCACATCCGGTGATACCCTGCTGTTCTGTAAAGGAGCAGACTCTTCCATCTTTCCAAATGTCAGACAGCATGAGGTTGAAAGGGTTCACAGGAATGTAGACCTAAATGCAACCAAGGGCTACCGGACACTGTGCATTGCATTCAAATACCTGAGTCCAGAAGAGTATAACAAAACAAATAAGAAATTGAGGGAGGCTAAATTGGCTCTGCAGCACAGAGATGAAAAGCTAATGGCTGTTTACAACCAAGTGGAGACGGAGATGTATTTGTTAGGAGCCACAGCTGTAGAAGATAAGCTCCAAGAGGAAGCCGTAGAAACCATTAAAGCTCTGCAGAAGGCTGGTATTAAGGTGTGGGTTCTAACAGGGGACAAGATGGAGACGGCAAAGTCAACTTGTTATGCTTGTAGGCTGTTCAAGAAAGACACAGAGCTGTTGGATCTAACAATACAAACTCTGGAAAATGGAGCCAGAAATTCTGAAGAAAGACTTCTAGACGTCATGAATGAATACTGTAAGAAGGTGATGCCAAACGGGCCACTGGTAAAATCAGATGATGTCAGGAACCTTTCTTTGACAAACAAAGACTATGGCTTAATAACAGACGGACACACTTTGTCAATGGTGTTCAGCTCATCACATGTTAGCTCAAGTTACAAGGACCTGTTCATGCAGATATGTGAAAAATGCACATCTGTGCTCTGCTGCCGAATGGCCCCACTACAAAAGGCCCAGATTGTAAGAATGGTGAAAAAGTCCAGTTGTAGTCCTGTGACTCTTTCCGTCGGGGATGGCGCCAATGATGTCAGCATGATTTTGGAAGCTCACGTTGGCATTGGTATTAAAGGAAAAGAGGGCCGCCAGGCAGTGAGAAACAGTGATTATGCCATCTCCAAACTGAAGCACCTGAAGAAACTTCTTTTGGCTCACGGGCATCTCTACTATGTTCGCATCTCATACCTGGTGCAATATTTCTTTTACAAGAACCTTTGCTTCATCTTACCTCAGTTTATTTACCAGTTCATCTGTGGGCATTCCCAGCAGCCCCTGTACGATGCAGCCTATCTGATGATGTACAACATTTGTTTCACCTCTCTACCCATTCTTGCGTACAGCCTCTTGGAACAGCATATTTGCATTGAAATTCTGATGAATGACGCCACTCTTTATAGAAAAATCTCTAAAAATGCCAAGTTGCAGTTGTTGCCGTTTCTGTACTGGACATTACTTGGCTTTTTCCACGGTTTGCTCTTCTTCTTTGGTGTTTACTATCTTTTTGGTAACCAAGCAATGCAGAACAACGGCCAGGTTGTTGGGATCTGGACATATGGGACAGTGGTCTTTACTGTTCTGATCTTCACTGTTACACTAACCCTTGCTGTGGACACACAGTACTGGACATGGATCAACCATTTGGTAATCTGGGGATCCTTGGTCTTTTATGTGTGTTTCAGTTTTTTGTGGGCAGGGGTATTGTGGCCTTTCCTTAGCAAACAACATATGTATTATGTTTTTGTTAAAATGCTGACCTCTGCCTCAGTCTGGCTTGTCATCTTCTTGCTTATCCTACTCTGCCTTCTGCCAAAGGTTTTAATAAAACTGTGTTTCAGTCATGAGAAATTGATTCACAAGTAGTTGGGGTCAGATAAGACTGGTTACACCTGACGTCAGTGTTCTCATGGCAGTAAGTAACCTGCAGTCTGATGTATGGAGTGTGTGTATTTGCCCAGACCATCATAAAACATGACCTGTGATCATGTATTTTAAGAGTTCATTAAATCTGATGATAAAGAATGATTTCTGCTTACAAAAAAATAAAAGGTAAATTTCTTAGCACCTGAACCGGATACTTTAATTCAGTTGCAATTCAAATTGGTTTCAATTTCTCCATGAGTTATTAAGGTCTAATGTTCTGTCTGTTGGACATGTATGCTCTTACAAAACAAGGTCATACTTATTTTGATAGAACATGTACATTTTACACAAACATTATTAAGGCACTTGTGCCAAACAAAAAATTCACAAAACTATATGTAATATGGCGCTGTACAGAGGACAACCAGCAGGGGCAGCATACAGTTGTAGGTACTGACTATATTCAGCAGCAGCAGATATTAATACTCAGCAGCAAAGATGAAGCACAAAGTAAAGGCTTTCTTCTTCTCTAATAAATGTGTAACTTTGAAGACAAAATTTGCCAAACAGCCAAATTTACTCCCAGTGACCATTAAAGAAAATGTTTCAACCCATGTTTCAGCTCCATGTTCCCCTGCGGCTGCTCTGTGGAGTCTTGCTGTTCGTATGCAATGCTGTCATGTGGACCTTTTTCTCCAAGGCTCTCCGGCACTGCTCCTCCTCAGCCAGAGCTACGGTCACTACCACAGCATCCAACTTTGTCTCCTCAGTAAGTTATTTTAACCATTATTAAATCTTTTTGCAGATAATGTTGAATCGTTATATTACTTTTGGTTTTTGTGTCCAGGCTGTCCTGGGGAGGCTAATTTTTGGAGAAACTCATGCATCTCTATGGTGGCTGGGAATCTGTCTCACTCTTTGTGGACTGCTGGTACTCCATGGAGCCACAACTCAGTGCATCACCCAGGAAGAGGACAAAAAGGAAGCATGACCTGAGAGCAGCTGTGGTCTTATGATTCTGGACTGGATGTCCCCAGGAGAAACACTTAAAGTGACGTCCATTGCAGAGTGGCCTTCTATTGTGGCAACCCTAAGGCACATCTGTGCAGTAATCATGCTGTCTAATCAGCATCTTGATATGCCACACCTGTGAAGTGGATCGATTAGCTCGGCAAAGGAGAAGTGCTCACTAACAGATTGAAGTTCCTGAAGTTGTTTGTATTTGCGTAAGTTACACATACATTAATATTACTACAATTATAATAATTATAGTAATATTATAGTTCAATAAATCACTGGCAATGTCATATTGTTGATGGAAATATATCTTGAGACTGGCTTGTTTTCCTTTCTATGTTCTAACACCCAGTAAAACACAAATCAATGTCTCTTAAACATAATAATAAAATGTCAATATTAATGTGTTCTACCCCTGAACTAAAGTAATCATTTTGGTTATTCTTACAATCACAGTAGAAGCCACCAGAAATGTAACATAGAAAAAAAATCTTTTATTTTTTAATTTAACAAGCCTACAGGCATATAAAAGTGGTTTTAAAAACAGAAGAACTGATAAAACATGAAATTCCTGACACATTTAATACCGTTATAACATGTATGGGCCCTTGACTTGCAATCAATAACCAGTTCTCTCACACCCACACATTCATCCCTTCACAGGAAGGTAATGACAACTGTTGTCCACAAGAGGGACAGCTGGAGAAACGGTCTCGTCACAGACAGAAAGGTAAGTTACTGTATATTAAGGCACAAGGTGAATTCAAATACTCAGTAGTGTTACTGCGTTGGAGCTGTCCTGAGATAATACATGTTGTCATAATATATACTACACTACTGACTTCATAGAATCAAAGTGGAAGCATTTCAGTTGTGCTCACCTAATAATAATACAACGGACAATTTACATAGGAACACTAGTAAAAGATGAGAGACTGTTAAGAAGTGACCAAGTGGCATGTGTGGTTTTTCTTTTGTCATAATATCACAGTCTGACTCCACACATGCATTTCTAAAATAGTGTCTTCTCTTCTGCAGATTGACCTCCTGGAGATTCCTGGGATTCACCCAAAAGTGAATTAACAGTCAAGCCACTGGTCTGAAATCATCTTACAAGGTTCAGGTTTGTTACCCTGTGACTTTTTCAAAAATGACTGCTCTGAATCAATACTTTTTCAATGGAGTTTTTGAGGATTTATATACAGTTTAAAGTTTGCTCTTCATAAATATAAATATGTTCCTGCAGCAATGTCCTCCTGACTGCCAGCAGTTCTAGGTCAGAGGTATCTCTATGACGTCCTCCTCGATGATCTCCCCCTGTGGAACGCTCACATGCTCCACAGGGCTATTCTTGCAGCTCAGGCCTGCAAAGGGGCTGCACCAGGTCAGAGAGAAGGGGCCTCCAAACGCCTTCTGCATGGCCTCCCAACACGGAACCTTCTCCCACTGTCCCGTCTCACCTTTCAGACGCTCTATTCCCTGAAGAACAGACATTTAGTGTGTGGGGTGAAAGAAGATTCTCCACAACAAAAGAAAGCATCAAAGACATGCACTGTTAATCACACAGATGACCCACGATATGAAAAATCTGCAGCAACACAATGGTTCAGCTTTGTGGGCACATTTATCAGGAACAAGTAAACTTTTATGTTATACATAAATGACCAAGAGTATTAATGTTAAGGCTGCCATAAAACTGACATTTTTAATCTGATTAATCACAGGGTAGCAGTAAATCAATCATGATAAATCATGATTCTAATCAAATAAAAAAATTACATTGCTAGAAAACCTTTTCCCCACAGTATGAATAAACAACCTATCGACTGAAGTACAGCAAAAATAAGTGGGTGAACAGTAATAAAATGCATTAGAGAAGAAGAAATACATACTAAATATCTATATGGAGGGATAGGGAAATTAGGAACACAATGGGCCTGAAAAGTAACTTTTTCTTAATCCGAGTTCACTTGTTTCCAAAAAACACACCCACATTGTATCAAAGCTGTAATGAATCATGCAGCTTTGGAGGAAAAAGAAAAGGAAACCCAATGGACAAAGAAAGGATATCAAATGCAAGAAAAGAAATAACAGAATTGGGATTACATTACAGAGCTCACTCATTTATTCATATGTTTGGTTGAATTATAAAAAAACAAACAAAACAGCTAAAAAATAATACAGAAAGAAAACTTCAACTTTGGCTCTGGGTTAAATTTGCATGCTCATGAAGCGTTAAGGTGGACGGGTGTCTAATGCGACCTTTAGATCTTACCTCTGTCAAGGTTATTAAGAGCAGTCAGCTTCAGAAAAGATTATCAACCAAAGCAAATGCATGAGTGTAAAGAGAACACTGTGAGAACAGTAGAAGGGGAGAGGTTAGAAAACTTAGGAGACATGAGT